TCGGACCTGCGTCAAGTCATCTGACCATCTCATTTGTGGCCTTCCTCTTTTTTGTTTGTAACTATATGGTCTCCAGTATATAATCATCTTATTCCATCTGTCGTCTTTCAGTCTTATGGTATGTCCAGCGAACTACCACTTAAGTTTTGCTATCTGCGTTGATATATCGGTCATTTTTGTTTTGTTGCGGATCCATTTCTTTTCTTGTCTGATAGCCTGATGTTCAGAATTTGCCTTTCCATGGCTCTTTGGGTCTTTGCTATTTTTTCTATGTTTTCCTTTGTAAACGTCCAAGTTTGAGAACCGTAGGTGAGAACAGGAAGTATACATTGGTTGAAGACTCTTATTTTTAAATATTGGGGGTATTTTCTATTTTTTAGTATATAGGAAAGTTTTCCGAAGGATACCCAAGCCAACCGTATTCTTCTCCTTATTTCTCCGGTGCGATTTTCTTTATTTAACTAGTTGTCCCAAATATACATATTCTTTTACTTGTTCTATAATTGTTTGTCCAATTGATTATTAATTCTTCTGGTTGGTTGGTCATAATTTTCGTTTTATTATAATTCATTTGTAGACCTATTTTTTGATTCGCTATTTAATTCATCCATCATATTTTGTAATTCTTCCCTTTTATCTGTTATTAATACAGTGTCGTCTGCAAATCTCAAGTGATTCAATTATTAGTCATTTATGTTAATACCTTGTTTTTCCCATTGTAATTTCCTCATAACGTCTTCCAAAGCTTGATTGAATAGTTTGGGTGACATAGTGTCACCCTGTCTGACTCCTCGCCGTATCTTAATAGGCTCCGCTTGTTCAACTCTTTTAATGGATGTTGTTGCTTGACTATACAGTGGTGAGTGCCTTATCACCCGGCTTTTTAACGTAAGAGATAGAAAACACAGTTACCTTGTGAAATAAAAGGAGATGAAACTCGTAGAGGTGGGAAATAATCGATAGAAACCTATAATTTACATTACATTACGACTATCGATAGTCTCACACCTTTAGACGTTACTTTCGATCTAAATCACCTCGGTCATAATTATTATGTTTGACAGTTTGACGTCGTATGTGTGACGTATTTCCATTTTTTAATTTAGATAAAGTAAAAACTGATTGACCACAATAAAGCAAAAATGTGAATAAAGTAATTTAATTAATAGTGATTACTTATTCTAAAGTTTTAAATTATTAACCAAGAATAATTTCTATTCTATATCTAGTGGATTAGTGGTAAGAATTCGACTCTGCGACGCAGATGATTAGAGTTCAAAACCTACATGAGGTTTTCTTTTTTTAATAATTTGAAATTATGCAGAGATCGTTTTGCTATGAATCACTAAACATTTATGTCAGTCGTTACTAGTATTTGAAGTGTTTAAAGTTAAACATAAATATCTTATTGAAAAAATAGTGTCGTACTTTCGAAAATAAAGTAAAAATTCTTCAAAATTAAAAGAATGTTTAAATAAGTAAAAATTTTACAAAAATAAAAAAATATTGTAAATAAACGTATCTACAATATGTTCAAGTAAGCCTTCATTAGCAGCAGAATAATAACCCAAACTGTCACTAAAGAGTTATAAAAGTCTGATGGATCAGGGTTCAAGGCACGATGTACTCATGCAGGCGGTTAGGGTTCAAATCCTACACGAAGTTTTTACTTTTTTAAAAATTTGAAATTATGCAGATATTATATCGTTTTGCTTTAAATCATAAAACATTTATTTCAGTCTTTATTAGAAGTGTTTATAGTAAAACATGAAAATCTTATTGAAAAAACAATGTCGTACTTTCGAAAATAAAGTAAAAATTCTTCAAACATAAAAGAACGTTCTAAATAAATGTACTTACAAAAAATGTTTAAATAAGCAGAAATTCTATAAAAATATTCTAAATAAACGTATTTTATTCTAATGAAGTGTATTTACAAAAAATGTTCAAATAAGCCTCCATTAGCAGCAGAACAATAACCCAATCTATTATAAAAGTTTCGTCTAACATTAGTTAATGTTTCTGGACTAATACCTGTCATTGAATCAAAGATCTTTTCTCTTAATTCTTGGAGAGAATTAGGCCTATCGTCTTCAATTCCATATAGTTTGGACTTGATGTATCCCCACATAAAAAAATCACAAGGTGCAAGATCAGGTGATCTTACAGGCCAAAAAATATCTCCGTGTCCACTAATCAATCGATTAGGAAAAGTCGCACTGAGATATTCACTGACGATGCGAGAATTATGTGCAGGACAACCATCGTGTTGAAACCATATGGAATCGGAAGGAATTGGTAAATTACGAAGGGCTGGGACAATTTGATTTTGCAGAAGTTCCAAGTATTTCCGCCCAGTCAACATACCGTCTATAAAAAATGGACCAATGACATGATTCCCTATTATGCCTCCAAAAACATTTACTTTTTGAGGACGCTGGGTACGAGCGACATAAATCTGACGAGGATTTCCTCGGGACCAATACCGAGCATTCATTGAATTGTGACGGCCATGCAATGAAAACGTACATTCATCGGTAAACAAGACGTTCTCTAAAAAATGTTCATCTTGATGTGACATTTCCATTGCAGTTTGACAAAATTCTAAACATCTGTATTGATCCCCAGGGAATTGTTCGTTGGATTTATGAAGTTTATAGGGTCGGTATCCATGTCTTTTCAAAATTTTACCAACTCTAAATCTTGAAATTCCATATTGTTCTCCGAGACGAGATGTTGATTGGGTAGGATTTTGCTCAATACTTGCACAAATCAAAGTGCCCCTTAGTTCCAAATCTGAATTTACCTCCCTTCGTCTACGAACTCCTCTTGGAGCGAACACGGATCCATAAATAAAAAAATTACGTATAATAGATTGAATTGTTGATCGTGATGGAACCGGCCTATTTGGAAACATATTTAAAAATTGTCTAATCATGTTGTCTAAGAATCCATTCACATGCCAGACAACAATTTTCACTTTTTCCTCGACCGTTAAAACCATTTTCACGAATTGTTTTTTCAATAAAAAGTTTCTGTTTACCGTGCAAAAACACTTCTCGATATGTTATTTGATGGCTTAAAGGCTTCGCTTCGCGCGCATCCATTCCAATGTTGTCAATTGGCTTGAAAATCATTACCTGTACAGAGGAATTGATATTAACATTGAGAATTTAGTGATCGATTTGATATAAACAGTCTTCACCGGATTATTTTGCATTCACAACTGAAGCCTGTATGAATTGAATTTGAATTATTTTGTATTTCCATTTTATAACATTGGAATAAAAATTAATTGTAAATAATGAGTTTTTCGAAAATTTGTTACCTAATATGTATCATATTTTCAATTATTTTTTTATTGATAAAACAAAAATTTTATCCTTGGTGTGAATTGAACCTTAATTTTCTCGTCAATAGACAACGTTCCTAACCACTACACCAATTTCACATACATTAATTGTTTTCGGACAAAACATACCTACCTTTATTTTAGTCAAATATTTCAGTTGAGTTATTTTTACTATTAAATAAATTTAAAGATTTATAATTTAAAATCGCTACTAATGAATGTTTTTTACTATAATATATCTTAATTTATTCAAGTATTTATTCTAACATCAGAAATTATTAAAATAAAATATTTTTGAGGTTATCCTCATATCCGTATAATTATGACTGAAGTCAAATAGCCACGTCTAACGTCTAAAGGTGTGAGACTGTCGATGGTGGTAATGCAATGTAATATAAATTATAGGTTTCTATCGATTATTTCTCACCTCTACGAGTTTCATCTCTTTTTATTTCACAAGGTAACTGTGTTTTCTATCTCTTACGTTAAAAAGCCGGATGGTAAAGCACTCATCACTGTATATATTGGAAATTAAGTCCGTATATTTAGTCTATTTTCCCATTTTGTAAAGATTTCTTTACTGCCCAATGTTCCACCTTATCAAATGCTTTTTCAAAGTCTACAGATGCCATATATATTGGGATTTGATATTCGTTGGCCTTCTTAATTAATATGTTTATCGTAAGCAGATGGTCGCTTGTACTGAATCCTTTTCTAAAACCGGCTTGCTCTCTCTTGACTGGTAATTATATAACTTAGTTTTTAATCTGTTTGTTAGTAGTTTAGTTAACAGTTTGTACATTACATTAAGTAACGTTATGGGTCTATAGTTTTTCATTATTCATTAGTACATACAGCACTTCCACTGTAGTCCCCCCTCCCCATTTTTTAACATTTCCACAGTTATTCCATCTTTCCCAGGAGATTTGTTATTCTTCATTTCTTTGAGTGCCTTTTTTATTTCATTTTACTGATTTCTGGTTGTGGGTCAGAGTTGATGTTCTTTATTTTCAGTTGTAACTGATTACGCATTTCTTGGGTTGGTTTTTGTTCTGTTTTATAGAGATTTGTATAATATTCGTGCGTTATCTGCAACATTTCTTTTATATTGTTGGTCTCCACTTCCTCTTTGTTCTTTATCCTATTAATTTGTATGTTTCCCACGTTCTACTTCAAGCACTTTATGTTTCTATTTTTTTTTAATTGTTTTCTCTTTTCTTCCTGTTTACACTAAGCAAAAAGACATATCTCCTCAACTAAGCAAAAATCCTTAGCGAATTGATTTCTAGTACTCATAAAGACTATACCGAGATAAAAGGAAAGACAGTTAATATTTGATTTCACGTACAGTGCGTCTGTATATCTGCTTATACGTATTTTATCCTAAAAGAAATCGACGGAGCGGCTATTTACAAACGCTCTGAACATGAAAACAATCTTTCCTGTCGTAATAGAAGCAACACTAAAATGGCTTCGATATGGACGCAATAGCTACATCTGATCATAAATCCGGAAACTAATTGTCGAAACAAAATGTCTTTCCTTTTAAAATTTATATTACTATTAATATGACGCTAAATAGATGAGGTTAATGTTTCACTATCTTTATATTTATTTATCTAATAATACTGTATTACTCATTTCCTAGGTCCAATGAATCAGCAAGTTATAGTGAGAGCAGTTTCCTATTCAAGTTTCACCCATAACGAATACCGCTACACTTTTGTAGCCGGTGAGACCCCTTGAACTACATCTATTGGTTATTTGATTTCAAGATTGTTTCAACCAATTTATCTACCCTTTTAAGATGTTTTCAACATTTCTTTTTTTTTTTTTCATTTTCATTCTTTTGTTCTGATTCAGAATTCAATTTTGTACTAATTGGCGATACTACATATATAAAAAATATTATGCAATCAAAGAAAAACAATATTTGGACAAATACATTATATTTACCAACACAAAGTCTTACAATACAAAAAAAAAAGAAAACAAAAAACATACACTTTAAACTTATAACAATAAAAAACATTTAGTTATACGATTTTTTTGCATTTCATTTTTTTAAATTCTCCGATGGAATATTAGACAGTGCACCTTCATGACTAAAAACACCAACTGAAAATTGGTCATCTTTCAAAACCAAATCATACAATAAAAAACAGATGTTGCACTGAAATATGACCAAGCCTCCAGCTTTTTTTAAATATATCTATATAATATAAACACTAACTAAAAACTGCTCTAATATTCCATCCGAAAAGAGAAAGGCCTTAATTATTTTTTTGTTTTTCTAATCTAGAATCCTACCTAATATTTCTTAATTCTATGACTTACCTAACTTTTTAAATCTAGAAACTATTCTACACGCTAGAAGCTACCCTTAACTAAATGCTTTCTAGCATACTTTTTACAAATTGGAAGTTACTTCCAACGATGACCAGCTTTCAGAGATTAAAAAATTAGTAGATCTGAAACGACATTTCCCACTGTATTTAACATACAATTTGAGAATTTCACTTCCAAAATTTGATCGACAAGAAAAGTTTTCTACAATGTGTTTAAACCTTTCGTAATAACAACAATAAAGTCAGACATATTATAAGTATAGCGATTTCATTAAGAAAAATATACTATATAGTTTCTATTGCAAAAAAGTAATTTCACGGTATTTGATATGGAAATCTTTTTCTTGTCCTCTGTTTACACATTTTGGTGCTTTTAGATCTCAAAATTTATTCAAATACAGTTAAAAACGAGACTGCCATTTATCCAAAAAACTAATTTTTACAGCTCAACTCTGAAAACTGTCGGTAAGATGACTTATTTATAAATAGGTAGTCGCTGATCGAATCTTCGATATTAGGTACTAAAAATAATATACCATCGAATACGGTATCTTGTGTATGAAAATAAAACTGATTCTTTTAATCAGTTGTGTTAGTGTAAACCTTCACAAATAAACGTCAATACTCAATGCAATATTTGGCTTTAGCTGTTTCACTAAACTTTGTTTCATATTATATCTAGAAAAATGTCAAATTATGCTTTTATCATGTTATTGACAGTGTGAAGTTTATCTCTGTAAACCATAAGTTCAAAAATAGTTTAAAATATTGTTCAAATACATGTATAGCTAAGGCAAGTTGTTCTAGTATTAATAAATGTAAACACTTTGTATATATTTTAGTTGTACTAACGTAGACACCAAATATTGTCATTATAAAGTCTATATTTTTGCAAAGCTTGTTAATGATCTAGAAAATTCTGTTGTCTTAATAGATTTTGTTTAAAGTAATATATTATTAAATTAGATTACTTTAGTAAAATTAATTAAAATAAAGCCGGTTTTATTTTATATTTATTTATTTCCTACATTACCAAAAGTATCCTGACAATTATATGATGATTTCGTTTTTTAGTCCGATCTAGTCGATCATATTCTTTAAAACGTTTTAGGTATCTTCCAGGTCTCTGTCTCTTATTTCTTCATATGTACCACATATATAAGTTCTTCTGGGTTGTCCTTGCCTTAACTGCAATACCTCAATGGTCGACAGAGTCAGACTAGTATATTAAAAAGACCCAAGCTGGAATACTTGAGTCACATTATGAAGTACCTTGAAAATATAAACTTTGGCATCTCATCATACAGTGAAAGATCTAAGGCAAAGGTGGTCTTGGAAGAAGGAGAACTTCATGACTTAAAAACTTAATAAAGCAATCATAGCGAATATGGTAGTCAACATATTACCCAACGATCGATAACGGTCATGAAACGTCAGTCACGCTTCGGTAGTTATCAAATTTGTGTTTATCACCTTTTTTATTTCAATTAACCGCATGAAGGTTAAAGCAGGACAATTAATTGTGTGTTGAGTAAATGCCTTGTTACCAATCCTCTTCATTCAGTTACAATGAGTTGCTTATGCACGAACGGCCTTTGTAATTAGGGTTGAGTGTCGATCTGAAATGAGATTTGTTTGTTTACACTACTTTAATATATTGCTGTCAAGTATACGAGTTACTAGTTGTTCCATATTTTATTAATTCTCTACGCATTGAAATGCTAGTACAGATTCTTCTTCTTTAAGTACAGTGCATAAAATAAGGCTTGGGTAGCGTGGGTATCGGCTCCCTTTCATTATATGTACCAAATATTCAAGTTTTCTTTTTTTATCACTTCGCCAAGACCTATCCTATTTAAGACTATGTTTGAGATGCGTTGAACCCATGATATTTTGAGCATTCTACGATATGACCACATCTCGAATGTTTCTAATTTGTTCACCGTATTAACCTTCACGATCCAGGTTTCCTTAGTACGGATTAGTTTGTAATACTTTTAATGTTTATTAATATTATTGATGCTACTATTGCATGATTGGAGACACACGCTATTTGGATTGGAGAATGGATCTAGTATGTTTCAAATAAGGCCACAAAATTGTTTATTTTAAATCGTTTTCACCATTTTAAATATTTTAAGTTGGAAATTTTCCGGCAAGCACTTTTTTATGAAAATGCTGTCTCATGCTAATGTTGCAACTAATTATATGATTGATCGCTTGTAAATGTTTGGAGTGGCTATAAGATTAGAGGAACTTAAGACGACTAGGTTTGTATATCGCATCACTTAAATTCTAACATTTCCATTAAATGTGGCAATAAGTATACGATTATATAAACCCAGATCCATCAATAAGAGAATGGTAAGTAATCTTCGAAATTGTAACTCACCCCAAGTCCAGTTTTTTTCTACATACACATGTATTTTTAAATTTTATAATTTTTTAACGTTCAAAATGAACGCCAACTTACAATCTAACAAAAATTTAATGGACAAATCCAAAATTACAAGAAACTCTAACCAAATATGCCGGACGATTTTTTTCAAATTCCTAAGACATTTCATACGAAACAAAGCTTAGTGTTTATATATTTTTATCGCGGCTCTTTGTAAACAAGAGTCCATAGTCTCCTAGAACATGTAGCTATGTTACATACAAAAACTTTGGATGGAGGGTGTTAAGAGACACTCTCTGCAATAGCAGTAGTTATAATGTGCCTTTTTTTTATTCTACCCTGACCTCCACTTCGTACATCTCTCATCGACATTAATATCTACACGAATTTCAAGAAATAAATACGTTATTTCTGTAATTTTCTAGAAACAGGTGGGTTTTGTTGTTATCTCTCTATTTGTTGCTTCTACAATTTCTCGGTACAATTAATATACTTATTAACGTATTTATGTTATATTTCCCATTATCGTTAATCAAAAAGTCATAGATGATGTTGTGTTTTAAATAGTACAGTATGCAAAGTGCTGTGATAATACATGTTAATTTAACAAATTGTTAACAATATAATATTTTACAAAATGACTTAAATTTGAATTCATTACAAATGCTTTTAAGAAAATGCTATTTTGTGCTTTTGCAGCATCCTTTTCTATTGATTTAAAATTTTTTACTTAAAAAATAGATGATAAAAACATAAAGTCACCCTTAGTGTTCGTCCAAATTATGTAGTATTCTAATTTTTGCTTTTTGCTATCAAAATTCCACCCTGTTTCCACAATTTAAAGCACGAAGCAAAACGGTTTCGGTCTGAAGGTCGAAACGTACTTTACTAGTAAGATTTAAATGTGGTTCCCAACACAGAATTAAAAAAGACAAAACGATCACAAGGAAATAACTTCAGTATTACTCAATTTTGAAAATTGTGTAGATATAATTGGTTAATGTTTTGCTTTCAAAATGTGTAATTTCAACTTTTTATGTAATCTCTTTAATAACCGTTGGTAGCTTGTTACTAATATTAGAGTATTACTAATTTTTGTATAGTATTTCTAAAAGTACAAATCAAACATTCGCCATCTGCCATAAAAAGTTTTATAATCCAACTACATTTGCTTTTTTAGTAATCATTCAAATAACCAAACTGGTGGGTTCTACCAGAAGTAATATTTTACGAACTAATAATATAAAGTGTATATCATTTTACGTTCAGTATTAATTCTGATATTCTTATTGAATACAGGTTTACTAAGTTGCAATAGCCTGAATTAAAATTTCTAAAGTAGTTTGTAAATAAAGTATTTTTATTGCAAGCTGTTTTTTAAATTTCAATTACTTTTGGAAACACTATAATACTACATAGATTGTAAATTTTCGCGGCTTAATATTTATAGCAGTAAAATTTATTTCTAACGGATGGCGAAAACGTCGAGGACATTTGTCGATGAAAGGTGCACACACAAAATAAAAATGAAACTGAAGAGAACATTCACAAATCGCCTACAACACATAAACAACTATAAGGTAAAAATTTAGTATCGGTTTTTTTAAGAATACACCGAGTTAAAAAAATATATAAAATATTTTTCAGTATATCCCTGTGGACAATCTGAAAAGGCACAATATCTTTCTTATGTGAAGTTTCTTACATCAATTGCCTGACGAAACAGTTATACTTACTGATTTAGATTTTTTATTCAATATTATGTCCTTCTCTTATCCCATTTAACAAGGAAAGTACTTTTAAAAGACGGACGAATCAAATACGTTAACAATAAATAAATTACCTAAAATCTCATCAAAATAAAGCTATTTTATTTTTAAGCCCACATTGTACATAATGTAAATACAATTATGATTGTAATACAATTTAAGATAGCATCATTTCTAGTTCACGAAAATATGACAATACTTAAATTAACTAGATGAAAAAGAATGGGAATGCAAATGAATTCCTTACAGTTAAAAAACCTTAATGACAACATACAGACTAAGGTAAAATAGAATATAATGACATATGATCTGAAGAAACGATTATAAACAGGGAGCAAACAACAGGTGATGTTCTAGTTAAAAAGGGCATTATTTTTAATGTTATTGAGATTCTAGGACCTCATTTGAACACGGTCCAGCACTCACAGATCCAACGCTATTTTTTCCCATGTTGACAAATATAATCATTGGTAATATAAAAAAAAACAAATGATAGAAAGATGAAAGACGATAAAAACAGCTAAATTTCAAATTTTCCTAAATACCAAGTTTCAATTTGATTGAAAAGTGTTTTAGGCATGTATTTTCACTGATTAGAAAGAAGTCGTATAACAAAAATAGATTTTGTTTGGTAGTGATGTAATAAGAGCATCACGTTGGTCATTCTTGAACTTGAAGGTATGTAGATTCCCATAAATATATTTAAACAAGTTTGAATTGGACAAATTTAACAAATAATTCTCTAAAATTAGCTATAGAAATAAATCTGTAGGCTTAAATCAAAATCTAAACGAATAAACCAGTGGGTTTCGTCAATATCAGTCCTTTGGGAACACAAATATAAATCAATAAGTATGTCAGATACCGACCAACATTTTTTTATCAAAAGCTATGTCACATCATTATGAAATTATCAAAATTAATGTCCAGTAAATAAACCGGGAATACCTCATTTAATCATCTCTACACACAACTATACACATAAAACTGAAAAAATACAAAAATCACAGATTCACTTCACCAAGTTCATCTACTGGATTTCTTGTAAATAAATAATACTCAGTCCATTTTAAAAGAATCCCAATAAATATATATTATTTTTTAAAATTATAAATAAATCTAATAAAATAAAACAAAAAATTGCACTGTACATACTCCATCTCTAACATAACTGTACAAAAATTGGGAAACGTTTTAAAACGAAAAAATGATAAATTTTCTGAATAAATAGAGAATATTATTAACAAATATTAAGACATTGGAATGTCGCAACAAATTACACCAGAAACATGTACAAAGGGTTGACAGCAAACCACAAATACTATTATGATGAAACGATTAAATATAGTCATTCAGGATAAAATAAATGATATAACATATATTCTTAAGTTCAAAATTATTGAAATCATTATTGTCGTTAGGAAATGTGCTTTTTTTTTCTATTATATTAACACAAAAGACGCATATACTTGATACGCACACAAATTTAAGCATTATATAAGACTGCTCTGTAACACGTACTCCTAACATGAAAGATCTTATATACAAACTTCAAATGTAGTCTAGGTTACTGCAATGTAAAACCTTTGCGGTAGTTGTCATGCATCACATGCCCCTATCTCGAGTCATTGACTTTTCACACAATTTTCCTTATAGGTCGCCGAGATCCTCATACTTTATAATATCAAATTCTGGTTCCAGTTGTTATCATGCCCCACATCGCACAAATAAAAGTCAATTAACTGGTTATTTAATCATCACATGACAAAACCAGTAACAAATTTTAATTCTGCAAAAAAAATTATAAGGGCATTGACTTAAAACTGTATCTAACAAGTAGTTGCTTCTTTAGTAATACTCTATTAATTTTACCAATGTTGAAATGTGCGCTCATTTTTATTTTTAGTTGTGACTAATTCGTTTTAATACATTATAGAAATAAATATGTTTATTGTTAAGAGTTCAAGGAATTTATTTATCTTTATAAGTATTAAAAAATAATAAAAATAAATGCAAATGGTTTAAAAATGTATGAGAACGACAGAAACAAAAATGACTTATTTGGGTTATACCTAGACAAGTTTTAATAATTGCTTCTATTAAACAATGAATTAAAAAGTTTTTGAATCTTACGACATACAATTGGGTTTTTAAGATCAACACACTTACAAATAATAAACAAAGTGTCGCATAACAAAAAGTTGTTGAAAAACCACCGCCAATCTCTAAAATATGCAAAATATGTTATCGATATAACGTATAATGGTGGGCTTCCTAAATATGCAAACGATATGTGTAGGACACTCTAGAATCAAAGGTGCGTAAAGGCTATGTATATAAACTTTCAGTATAATCCGAGTTAAACGGGTAATAATTTCATAAATTGTCTTTATGATCATTTACAATGTTTATATTGTTGATAGCATCAAAATAATGATTAAATTTGAAAGTCATCTTTTAACTCACGATATATGAACATAAAATTTTCTGATCCCATGGTTTATATGTGTTCCTAGACCAAGTGATATCATGGTTGTCAGTCACTACAGCACTCTTCTATAATGTAGGATTACAAATTATAGTAAAACGATTTTTTCGCTTGTTTTGTGAGACATTACTATTATATAATATAATTACCATGCATCAAGGGTTAACATTTTTGAATTGGGTAAAATAATTAACAGAATTGTACCATTCGATAAAATGTGCTTTTAACCTCAAGAAATCTCAATAACATGGAAAATTTATAATTTTTTTAAAGCTATGTAGGTTGCGTCAACTCTTTGTAAAATTTTCATAAGTTCCACCATTATCGTAGTTAAAATAATAAAAAGTTTGCAAGAGTATAAGACTATCTATATTGGCACATACGTAATCAGTAAGACAAAATCTTTTATTCTGGTATATTTTCAGATCAAATCTTAACATGGATAAAAAGTTATGATTCTAAATTTTTCTTATGTGTTTAAAATTTCAGTTTCGCGACATATTAAAAAATCTCAAAACAATAAAACATCTTGTCTTTTTTTCTACCCTCTAAAAAAATCTACAAAATGTGTATACTTCGCATTTTTTTGCTTTTCAACAATTGTATAACATGTATATGGCAGTCTTTCTTCACACAAAAACTGCAAAGATAATTTTGTAGAATGTACCATTACGAAAATCATACAATATCAAATCTTATGTTAATATTTATATTTTTGGGTATCACACGAAACGTTATTCACCATTTTTAGTCAAGACATAGATTAATCGAAAAATATATTTTTGTTATTATTTCCTACTTATTCGTGTGTCAATTTGAAAAAAAAAAACGCCAATAAACAAATTAGACGAAACTGTATCTAACCACAAACTATATGACACCAGAAGTGACATCCAGACTTTATCGAGTCATTACTTGGTCAAAGGACAAAATTGTTAATTTTAGGTTTGTGCAAGCTGAAAATAAAATTCCATTTCTATACAGCAAATAAGCTTCCTATTGCGAATATGCTTTTTAATACCTAAATGATTCTTGAGATAAATAAGATAGTTTGCGATTATACGAGACAATGCATGTCCATAGTGGTTCTGGCAGGACTCTGTATGTCTATTAAAAAACACAGAAAGGAATAGTACTGAACTTTCGTCTCATAAAGGTCGATTCAGACACATCAGTCCCGACATAGTCGCGGCGCCGAACCGGTCCTGTTTGGTCACAGAACTATCAACTATCTGACAGCTTGGAGTGTGAATGCCGGTAACATATTTGTATTAAAGAATATTTTGTATGACGGATTGTTCGGTTCGGCGCAATCACTGTGACGAGACGTGACTGATGTGTCTGAATCGACCTTAAGAGTGTTTCGTTAAGAAAATAAAAAACACTATAAAACAGAAACCAAATGCCGGATAAAAAGTTATATTAAGTGAAGGTGACAAAAATATAGTTCGATGAATAAATCACAGGTTCTATTTTAAAAAACGAAATATCAGCAATAAACAAAATACAATCAAAAATAGATTTATTTCTTTACACTGAAAAATAAATCAGAAAATTGTGTGAAAGAGTACAAAAGGATACCACAACCAACGTACGTGTTGTTTACGTTAAAGAGTTCTATGAACAGTCTACCCGGTGAAAATTCGTTCACCCCTATTTATCATAAGGTGTATATGTCATATAAGTTTTATTTTATTATTCTACGGTGTCAATAATTGCTATGATGACAAAATTTCGAGCTTATAATTGGCAACAATCGAGGTAAAGAATAATAACAAAAATAATTTCTTATATAAATATTCAAATAAGGAAAATTTAAGTATATTACAATATCAAATGCCTTCTAGTCAGTCTAGGTCCATCAAAGTGAAATAAATAACTACCTATAACTACCTAGTCACGTTTTTTTCTTAAATTAGTCTTTCCTGTATCCTTCAATAGAACTTGGTTCGTATTTGCGAATTTGAGTATATCTTAAAACAATAGTTTTGTAAATGCCGCAAATTATAGTTAATATTATTTTAAGATAGTTTTTTTAATATAAGGCATTTGTACATAAGACACATAAAACGTGCTAGGAAGTGTTATATAATCCTACTCGTTTATATATTAAACATCAATTTCATTTCTGCCCTGCTTAGTAAAAACATTCTATCTGCAATTTTCATGTTATTATTTTAAAACCGTTTCGTCTTCCTCCGAGTTATTGTATTCATGGAATGCAAGATAGAAAAAAGAGTTGAAGAGACGATCCTAAGAAATATGATGGAACGAGTTGGATGACAACAGAAGTGGGTAGAGACCAGTGGGAAAACGAGAAAAAAGATAAACGAATACAATATGATGATTCTACCCTGCTGATCTCTGAAAAAAGATGTTTAATATTTTTCTAATTCTTCTATCTGTAGATAAAGGCTAAATTCGTTCGTTCATCTTGTTAAATTGGTCTGTCTGCAGATATTTAGCTTTAAATACGTAGTCCCTGGAAAAAAGCCATTTTCTTCTTCGTGTTTCTCATCCTTTAAGAACATTGGCGATTATCATGGCCCATTTTACTCCGTCTGCAGCAGTTCTAAAGGGTTATATTGTTGCTTTTCCACTCCACTGCTTAAAATTTTTCAACCAGGACGTGTGTCGTCTCCTCGGTCCTCTTTTTCCCTCCATAAATCATAAGAGCTGATATATGAGAGGACCAGATTGCCTAATAAAACTGTAGTAAAATCTCAGACATTATAAACTAGTCTATTCGAAACTAGCGATCCGATAAGTTTAGGTAATGTTATTTGAATTAAAGCAAGCCTAGTGGAGCTGGAATGTCTAGTAGCACAGCGATTAGATTTAAAATCTTAATTTTTTAACGCGCAACAACATACATAAACAAGGTTCAGTCAGTAATCAATTCCTTGACGGTTTTAGTGCACCCGAAAAAAATTGTGCAGGTTTTCTTACCAATGTAGATACTATTTCTAGGACATATAAATATGTAGATAGGTTCATTCTGCACAGATTTTAAGCAAATACAAATAAAAACAAAATTCAGAGCGAATCAAGAATCCACAATATCCATGTAGCAAGCATGTTCGCATATTTGTTTATTTGTTTGAGATAAGTAAGTCTTCCCTTGTTCTAATTTCTTTATGTATGACTTTTTGAACATCCGAATTCCACTTAAATAATTTTAAATGCGAATCAAATACTTTTAAGGATTGGACATACTTAACCACATCAGATCCAATTTGTTCATCACTATAAGTCTCTCAACAATGTAAAGTTGTTTGTTATTTCAATTTTTTTTTTCAAATATCTCTTGAAAATAAATTACAAATTATAATATAAACCTTTTATATTAAGGTTTCTACTTGCAGACGAGAATATAATTATTATTATTGTATGATAGTTCTATTATACAAAGTAACAATCATAATATGTATTAATATTACTTGATATTTGAAAAAAAAAATAGTTTTTCTCACTAAATACAACAAACAACCCTGTGATATGTTAAATATAGATAATTTTTTCTGTTCTCGCGATAGATATGAGCGGTTTTACGCACCAGGGCAGATATGTGAACAATTCAATGTACTGACCAGTGTAAGTTGGTAATGATACCTATCCCTGACTTGACATTCGGAAAGATAGCTTTAAAAATTATTACGATAACGATGAAACAGGTCAAAATAAATAAAGTATAAAGATTGTGTATAAAATAAATATATATATAACGACAATTTTTTAGTGGAAGTAAAATTTTATAGATGTTGATTTAGGAAGAATTTATTTGATTATGAGCAGTATCTTTTACATGTAGTGTTTAAAACAACTACCTATATGTCTATGTAGATCTTCATCAAAAAATAAAATACTAATTTTACCTATTCTAAGCCATTTTGGCTAGGGAAGATCAATACACATTTCACTGCTGTATGTAGAAAAGTCGTTTTTTTTTTCATTCAATATTACTTTTTACAATGTGTAAAACTATGTAGTTACTATCCTAGTTTTCTCCTACGTTTTGGAAAAAGACCTGTGCTAGAAAATGCTCTGTCTAAAAAACATTATGTACAGTTGTTCTTAAGTCTAAAAATCTTGTCAAAAACACAATTGGTACACACATCCTAAAATCCAACGAGACGGTAGGCATGTATACTTTGAAGTGTTTATATTAAAAATATGTTTTTGTATATACTCGGTATCTTGATGTGAATCAATGCATATTTTTTAAACAACAATAAAACACATTTTGTTAAAATTGCATTCTACAAGTTAATCTAAACTAAACAAGAACAGGATACATTTTTTTTATAGTTTTTACCAACTAATCTCTATCATAATAATAATCTAACAATTTTAAAAACATACTAGATCCGGTGGATTTACTGGAGTGAATTATCTCATCGATTTTAACTACATATTATCAAAATTCTGCAGTTATATCGAGTATTAAGATATTGAGAATTTTTACACCGGAAATGACATAATACAAAGGAAGGTCATCCAGTACGAAAAAGAAACTGTAACGGCTACTATGGTTAAGAGTTCATTATTCAAAGTTTCATGACTAGAGATAATGACCAGGAGTTATATGAAACCACATTTACCAGAAACACATTAATATGGTTCTATGATCAGTAATAATGCTTTATTAGCTCTCCAGATAGATAGTATATACAAAACATTAAAAATAAGTACCAAGACAATAAAAAAATAAATTTTTGACTGGCTGTATGCACCAATCTGGTATACCATTTATATTAAGTACTGAAACAACTGTAGCACTTAGTCGATTGGCATTCATAGATGTGTAGTACCAATTGCATCGAAATACTTGTTAAATTCAGGCGCATTTTCCCAACACAGATATAAGTTCAGAAGACATATTTTTAATACAATTTTAGTTGTCAAACTAGGAACATACTGTATCAAAAATATCTACTTTACACATAGTTCAGTCCTTTTTTTGTATCGTGTAACAATAATTTTTTGTAAACAAAAATTAGGAGCTGTGTAATATCATCGTGAAAATTGCTAACACAAAACTAAAAGTTGTTTTTAATTATGAATTGCTTGTACAAAGTTTCTTGTGTAGTTTTTTAGTGGGTATAGTTATTATGACATCAAAATACAACAGAAAGGTTTTAAAGAAACAGATACTATAAAATATGTACATTTGTCTACACACAGCATTACTTAAAGTTAAAATTAAAATAGACACAGAACCTACGACATATTAGTTGTTTTCTGTTTTCAAATTGTGAGCTTATCATTACGATTGTCGAGTGAAATCGTAACAATATCTTTACTTCTTAATTCTCAGACAAGTGAGAACTAAGTGCATACAAACAACTCATATATGGTAAAATGTTAAATTTCCATGTCTTTTCTACCAAATGTTAATTTTACTAATTTTTTGGTCTGTACTCAATCGTCATTTTTGACAACTTTTAGTTTTGTAATCATTTTCAAGTAATATTACCTCCCCGAACATTCAAATGACTCAGCAGTAAAATAACTATCGTACAAACTCAGTCGCAATTTTCAAACACGACTTCTCAGACCGATTCAAAAATTGCCAAAACTCTATATTCATAAATTAACTACTCTATTATAAATCAGGCATTCTTAATGCCTTCATCTTTCTAAAAAATTAAAGATTTGCAGCAATTTTCAAATGGGATGTCACAAAATAGTTCCAAAACAACAATTAGATAAAAATTACTTGGGGGGCCCTTGGTACGCTTGGTATGGATCTTCTGGACTTGCTGCGTTGGAAGTGTGTTCAGAATCGACTGGAACAGCGTGTACTATTGATGGGTAGTACGAATATTGAGGGGAGATGTATGATCCCGTACTTATCTGCATTGCTCCCATTTGTGTTGTGAGCTAAAAATAATACATATATACATAAACCAAAATCAATAATACTTTGTGATACATGGTCTAGTTACAGTGGGATTTTCCCTCTATTTTTTTTTATAATTGAATCGATTTGTCTAAAATTTTAAAAGTAGGTAATAAATTACTCAAAAAAACGTAAGTTATATGGTATCGATGTGTTGTGGTGGTTGGCACCCCAGGGTATTTGATAGGGAATAAAATTTTAATAAAAAAATGTCATGTACTTTTTTTTGTTAGATCAATACTTTTTGAGTTAATCGCGCTTGAAAAAGTATACTTCTAGCAAAAAAACATGTTTTGCAATTATTTTTCACAAATAACTCAAAAACAAAGCCTTTTATTGAAAAATGTGTAATGAACAACAAGTAAGCTTGGTTTAAGAGATTGGTTTTTTATTCAGTTTTCTATGTACAATACTAAGCGATTTATAATTGTTTGAAGATGACTTTTTATTTTTGGAGCACTATATTCAATGTATTTACTTAACATCAAATATCGGAAAATCGAAATATTTTTCGACAAAAACTCTCATAAGACACTTTTTAAAGGACTTAAAATGGACTACATATTATGTTAAAAATAATTTCGAATAAAATAAAGAGGAATACGATGGAAAGAAGTTGGATTAGTCTGTTTGAAAAAAAAAAAAAAACGAGCAGTATAAGTACTATTTTTATCAACTCTTAAAGTTTAGCCGGTTTAGAACGAGTATTTTTTGAAAAAATGATGTTTCTATTAATTTTTTTTACAAAAATGCAGCCTTTTTTTTTAAAATTTTAATGTTTTTATTTTTGTTATAGCTCAAAAATAACAGAAATATAACCAATTGAAGTTTGAGATAAAACGCCTGGCACGCCTATAATTAGCACTTTGGCTGTTTACTATTTAAAAAAAGGGTTGTAAAATATATTAATGTACCTATCTTGCAACCTTTGAAATTATCTTTAATAGGCACTATAGCTTAACAATTAACGAAGTTATCCTAAAAAAACAATTGCATTTATTGGAAAAAAAATTGGATACCGTAACCAATTTGTATTTTGGAGCATCTTATTTTCTGTATATATGATTATACTTAATTTTTTTACTTACCCATTTATCAAAAGAGAGTTTGTTTCGAGAGCATAGGAGTGGATTTTAAAGGGTTGAAAAATTTTATGAACAGGAATGAATTTTTTCTCAAACATAAATACAAGAAATTTTGAAATTATCACAATTTTTTTATGATGTTATGACACAAGTGGTTGTTTTTAAGTGTTGAAAATAAGCAACCGATCAAAAAAAAACTTCTGAAGTAATGGAAAAAATTTATATATTTTTGACATAGGTGATAGTTTTTAAGAGTTTAAGTGTTGCAATTAACCAAAATAATTTTAGATAATCACAGAATTACATTATAGATGTTAAATGCATTACAAAAACGTTTGATTTTACAATTATTTTTATTAAAAGGGGTGGTTTTTAAGATTGTTTAAATATTGAGAATATACACAATTATATTACATTATAATTGACAACATTTCAATTGCATAATTTAACAAGGTTTAAATCCATAAAATACTTTAATATTAATAATAATAATAAAGAGTGATTTTAACCCCTTAAAAATAAAATGCTCACCTAGGCCATATATAATTTTTGACGAGGGGAGTAAGATAAGTCTAATTCCAAATTGTTGGCAAAATCGATTCAGTTATAAAAAATTTACAGGTATTGTCCCGTTTTCCTCCTCAGTGACTCGACAAATAAAAACTGCACATTGGAGTACTTTATAATTTTTTTTATAAAGTCAATCCAATTTAAGACCAAACAGTAATTTTTCTCTCTTTTTGTATTCTTGGTAATGAGCAGATCTTCTTCTAAATGCACCTAAAATCTGCTAGAGATGTTGGCGACCACATCTTATTCTATTCACAGCAGGTCGAAAGACTATTCACTTCCTAAGATTGGCCAGCCAGAATATACGTCTACGTCCAGGGCTTCTCTTACCCTCAATCTTGCCTTGTAAAATCAACTGTAGAAGTCGGTATTTATTATTACGCATGATGTGGCCGAAGTAAGCCAATTTTTTGTTCTTTACCGTGTTAATAATTTCTTTGTCTGTTCTTAGCCTCTGGAGAATAGTTATGTTACTTATGTTGTGTATATATGAGACCCTCAACATACGTTGGTATCACCACATTTTAAATGCCTCTAAACGTTTTATGGCATCTTCTGTAAGGCTCCAGCTTGCTACTCCATAGAGAAGGACACTAAAGACGTAATATATAAGATTTTTTTCTTATGCGTAATTGATACTTAAAGGATAAGTGGCAGAGAATCTTCCTAATGCTGTTGATAGAACTTCTGGCTTTTTCAATACGAGTTTTTATTTCGTACCTGTGATCCCAAGTATTCTTAATATTGCAGCCCAAATACAATACTTTTTCCACTCTTTCTAAAGGTGTATCGCCTATTGTAATTTGGGCGTTTATGTTGGTGTTCTTACTAATGATCATTATTTTTGTATTCTTGCAATTTAGTTTTAGGCCGTATTATAAATTGGCCATTTACAGCAATCCCATCTTCTGATTCGTCCAAGGCCTCTCTAAAGATGTTTTCAGAGTATATGTGAAATAATGCCGGTGACAATATTTAACTCTGTCTAACTCCTTTTTCGACTGTGAAGATCTCGGACAGTTCATTTTCTAATCGCACTGTTGCTTTTTGTTTCGAGTCCTGATGTTTTTGGGATATTGATTAGTTTCCCATGTAGGACTTTATCAAATGCCTTCTCGAAATTAATGAAACATGCATACACATCGCAGTTGACATCCCTGGCTCTCTGTATTAGAATTTGCAAACTAAAAAGTGCTTCCCTCCTTCCGAGTCCTGCTCTGAATCCAAATTGAACTTCACTCAGGTGTTCTTCTAATTTGGTGTATATGCGCGAGTGAATCATACTAAGCAGTACTTTAAGTACAAGGCTCGTCAAACTAATTAATCTATGTTCTTCACATTTTCTAGCGTTGGCTTTTTTTGAGTAGATAGTCAATTTTATTTTAGATATTATTTTAGTTGTCGGTTGGAGATTTCCGTATGTATAGTCTTCTAGCGGGTACAAATTCTCTCTTGTCAGAATTGAGTTATGTATATCTCAAATACAAAATATCTCAAAGTTGAACTAGAAAGAAAAATTTTTTTTTTTAATCATTCTAGTTCAACTTTGTAAGATATTTTGTATTTTTTAGCAGCTCTTGACAATGATTGTAAACACAATTGAAAGCTCGAGTAAAGAATAGTTAACAAATAGTCCCTTTTATTGACTCCAACCCATCCAAAATATATTGGTGCGAATCCACTGTAACATTCTCTTTGACCATCTTTGACCATTCATCCTTTCAACATGGTCATTTCAGCCTTTTACATTCTGTAATTTCCCGGATGTTAATGTCTATACCCGTATGATCCAATTTCAGTATTCCATACTCTATTTTTTCTAGTGATTTGGCAACATCTACGCCAATAATTAATTTCACATAGATTTTTACTCAAATCACTATTTCAAACAAATAGAAGAGATAGAGGGATACTAAACAACTGTTTATTAACCACATAATTACAATTAACCACAGTTTCAGTTTAAAATACGGTTATTTTGACGTTTTTATTTCCACTTCGAGAATCATTCGCAAACTAGTTTTCCGATTTTCGAAGAGGAAATCGAAACGTCAAAATAAACATATTTTATAATGAAATTTAAGGTTTAAGTAAAATAGTAGCAGTTTAAATTTAATAAAAGTTTGTCTTGATTGTTCGGTACGGCATTTTATTTCTTGTTGAGGATCTTATTGGTTATTCACGAGCATTCTTAAGTATTTGAATGATTTCACTACTCGATAGGATCATTATCTAGTTGCAGCTGTACTCTTAAAAGTGTATACAGTATTTATTTTATTTAACATCAAACTGCATCATGTTCGTTGTCTGTGATTATTGTGGTTTCGTCGGCGTAATGAATGTTATTTATCGGGTACCCGTTGACTTTTATACCACGCTCATAGCCTTCGAGTGCCTCTCCAAAAATATTTTTCACAAGGTTGAACAGCACAGGAGACAAAATACATCCCTGTCGCACCTCTCTTAATAGTTTATAAATAGTGAGACAGTAAGACGAAATTTAAATTACATTATTAGCACATATATTCTGGTTTTAATATTTTAACAATAGTTTTTCCGATTTTAGAGAATCGGAGCGAAGTTTTTACATAATTTTGCATCAACTTGTAGCCTCAACTACGAAACAAATTGATCACAACGATTTGATGCTATTACCTACCTGAGGTATGATATTTGTATAAGGAACAGTAGTTTCTGTAGATGGCATCATAAGCGGTATTCCCCGAGGAGGTTGTCCGTCGTTCTTATACTGAGCTGCCATGTGTCCAGGCAAATTGTAACTTTCCTCTACAGTAGCCAATGGAGGCGCCATAACATACGGGAACGGCCATTGTCCAGTAGTGTACGAAGGAAACTGTACATCAACAAACTAAAGAATTAGAATAAATAACTAATCGTACAAAACCGAAATTGGTAATATATTTGTATAACTTTAAAAAATCAGCAGAAAGCAAAACATATTAGTAATTTTTAAGACATGGTTAGTGAGTAATGAAAAAATGTCTACTATTTAAGACTATCCGTATAACTGATTTAAAAAAAAACAGATACACCATAGTTGCAGTTATAACGTCAAATTACAGTTAAACCAATAATTTCCCATCCAAAACATTACTCATAGACATCTAAATCCTGCTAGACATCCACATACACCCAAGTCTGATCCTACTACTGCTAAATTTGTCGCATTCCTTCCATATATTCCGATCACAGGATAAGCAAGATCCTTCGCAAAGGTCTCAGAACCAGTTCCCGATCCATACAGTTACCCATAAAGACCCACTATTGTTTCTCTTATGGAAGTGTATACTCCATCCACTGTTCCTCTGGAACGAATAATCGGCTAAATTGCCCTCTTCTCTTAATCCTTAATTCCCAATGCAGGATAGGGAAAGATTAGGTTTTTTACAGTTTCCTAATCTCATTGTACAACGATATACGTCCTCCTGGGAAATAACAGCAACTATTATCTCAAAGCTGAATACAACAACATCATTATACAAATCAATTGTTTGTATAATTGTTTACCTTCTAATCTATAAAGCACCGTCTTAGAACGGACTGCTAGTCTTTCTCTCTCGTCTCTCTCCAAATACCACAAATAGCCAATACACAAGAAACACAAGCTCTGAAAAGGATCAAGGGATCGTATGGGGGAACTTTAAGACTATTCCCCTGTTTCCCCTATTTTTAATAAAATTTAACGAACCCATTTTCTTTATTATGAACATTGACGATTGTAGTTTCCAATTATGTTTTATTTTTGGATACGTTAAGTATTTTAATTACTGTGCACGAATATTTCTCCTGGCTGATGATATCGCCTCGGATACCCCATAAGTATATGATTTACAGTGACCAAAAACATAGCCTACTCCTGAAGAAGCTATATATCAGTCTAGTGAAAACGTGGTGATGGACCCACATACGAATGTTCACTTAACTTTTAAACAATATATACTAATCTAATCTACAGAGGAGTACCAAAAGAACATGGCGCCAAATAAGGTGCAGCCGTACTGATAGACTAAAGATACCAAAATCACATCAAATGGTGTCAATACGTATCAGATCACATTGGATTGAAACAGCAAAGATAAGAATCTAGAATGATGACCTGAACATCATCGGAGTATACGGCGTAGAAAATAATAAACCTAAAAGAACAAGTGAAACATTTTATGACGAGTTACAGCAGGTAGTAGATTAAGTCAGAGGGAAGATGATAATACTGGGAGATTTTAACGTGTGAATACTCGGAAGTATTACTTGGTAATACTTGGCATTAAGCAAAAATATAACGAGAATGTTAAAAACGAAAATGGAGAACTGATAATAAACTTCAGCACAAATAAACTTAGAATAAACATCATATTTTTTAACCACAAAGAAGAAAACAAATATACATTCAATAACACCCGTGGACAAAGATGTATGATAGATTATGTTTTAACCAAAACGAATATCCATAAAAAATAATGCCTGAACTAAGATGTAGATATCGACCATCGCCTAGTATTAACTAATATACGAATCATCATGAAATACTTCACACCCAAGAGAACAGCACCAACACAAAGTCAGAGTCAAACGACTAAATCATATCAAAAACATATCAAAAAAGAAAAGTTCATTGTTTAGAGATGAAGTGAAGACAAAATGTGAAGCCTTTTTACAATGCAGAACACAACAGGCATACAACTACTATAATGAATTAAAAATGAAACGAATACTTTAATTAGAAACAATAAGGGACATTGGAAGAGCTTCTAAAAACAGATGGAACACGACTTCTACGGAACACATTCAGAGGGAAACATGGGCTAACTACTTTCGATCCCTATTTGCTAAAGGTAACGATAATGAACCACCACACCAGATGTGTGAAGCGTTAATGAAATTAAAAAAAAAAGAAAATCACCACGACAGAACAGAACACCAAATGAACTCTTTAAAGTATGGAGGACCAGATCTGACCAAACAATTATTAAAGCTAATCCAAAAAATAATAGAATAAAATGGAATACCACAAGAATGGAGATATCAAGCATCCTAATAAAGGGAGACAAATCGGATCCGGAGAATTACAGAGGAATAGATTTATTAAACACAGCATTAAATTAACAACCAAAGTGATAACAAATAAACTAAATGAAATTATAACACCAACAGAATAACAAGAAGGTTTTAGGCCAGGATGATCATGCACCGACACTTTATATACGATTTATATTGAAGCAAGTGCAAGAAAAATGATTAGAATACAACAAACTGCATATTTAATGTTTTCTGGACTTTAAGAAGGCATTTGACAGGGTAAATTAAAGGACGTTATCTAATTATTGTAGGCAAAAGAGATACCTCTAGGAATAATTAAAATGATCGAGAACATCTACCAGAACAACACAATAAAAGTAAAGATAGAAGAAGAACTAACTGAAGGTGGCAATGGGATTCCCTAAATCCTCTATTGTTCAAGCTGATCATGGAAGAAATAATAAAAAAAGTAATAACTATAGGATACCAAATGGGACAAAAACAAAAATAATTTGCTATGCAGACGACCCAATACTATTCTCTCAAAGTGAAGATGATTTACAACGTATGCTACACCAATTTAATATAATCGCCAGAATGTTAATTTCCACAAAAAAAGACAAAATGCATGTTTATAACAGTAAATTTACTATGACGTAAATTGAAGATGGAAGGTTAGATAATAGAACGAAAGATGGAGTTTAAATATCTAGACATCTCGAAATCTAACTACGGAAAGCTCGAAGCAGAAGTGGAAGATCAAGTGAATAGAGCAAACAGAACCGCAGGTTGCCTGAATGAAACAATATGGAGAAATAAAAATATCGGGAAAAAATGAAATGCAGAATTTACAAAACAGTCATCAGAGAAATAATGACACACGCGGCAGAAACACGACCTGACAAAAAGAGGACGAAAAGAAATACAGCAGAGATGAAAATTCTTAGAAAATCGATGGGACAGAGCTAGAAGTAGATATACCACGTAGACGCAAATTGGAGAACATCAAGGACTGGGTAAGAAATAGAAGAGTAGTCTGGAACGGGGAGATGGTTTCTCAATAGGAAGACGATTAGTATTTAGATCACGAAAACGATGGAACGACAACTTACTGGAGGCACATTTAAAAACAGATAGACTCATGTCTACACAAAAAGAAAAAAATACTTTAAACAAAATTAAAGTATTGACATAACACAAGGTATAGCCTTGAACTCCTACACTAGATAATTTGTGTTAAATAGTGGCCATATTAAACCAAAAAAAGGTTTTGTTCTTTTTAATAATTTTATTGGGAGATATGGTTATGAGTGTTAAGTGAACGAAAACAATATAAAGCTGGTAATTTTAAATTAAAAAATAATCTTAGAACATGGGGGATAATCCATCTGGTCCATAAAAGAGTCAGTCAATAAATTATCGTTTTGTTCGTCTAGGTATATTCGTCATAACATACGTCAGAAAGGATAGTTTAGTAGATACATTTGCTTTTAAAAACCACATTGCACGGGAACAGCATACTTGTAAAAAGAACTAATCACAGAATCAAACGGTTGAAACGAAAAGCAGATTACAAATTATAGCAGATATTACAAAAGCAGATATCAAATTTTGAAGCAACTAATTTAAAAAATAGAAACCTTACTCTAAAACCAATTTACCTGATTATAATGCCTGTAATTCGTTAAAGTCGGCATCAAATGCTGACCTGCGACTCCATTTTGCGCCAATGTAGACGGATCATATTGAACCGCCGTTAAACCTTCTGCACTGTCTCGCCACATCTTAACGTTGTCATTATTTTTATACATGTTCTTCTTTTTGTTGCCTCCGTCGGCGAATTTAACCAATAACGGTTCTTTACTTGCTGGTAGCATTTTGGCATTGAAGTGCTGGATGATATACTCGCATTTTTCTTTGCTTTCCATTCTTGCGAACCCTACTCCTTTGGATATACCAGAAGCGTCCCGAAGGATACGCGTTGATATAACCTAAAAAATTACATATTTTTAATCATAAACCAACTGTACAGTGATGTGTTTGTGAACCAGTATTAATTTACAGTCTCAATCGTAAACTTAATACTGGGTAAAATTATACCCGTTCCACTAGAAGTAAAAACTTCTAGTGTACCTAATGGGTATACATTTAATAAAACATTAAATCAAAAATCCAAATGGATTACAATAATTGTTGAAATTGTTCAGTTTTCGGTCTTATCAAATTATCTTCAGTGAACTTTGACGTACTTGCTAAATAACCTCATCACCAAGCAGTGGTGTGTTTACATTACATATTAGATACTTTAAAGAATAAAATTAAACGACATATTGTCGATGGTTTAAGATTTAAATTTCCGGGAACAGTAAGTCCCTACTCGAAACTTACTCCCAAATAAGGGTTGGTCTGCAGACACCAGCCAACTCCACCTAAGTTGGCTGGAATCTGAAGCTATTAACATTATTAAACGAAGTTTTATATTATTTTTATTTACCATTGTACAAATTTATTAAGGATACAATAAAATTAGGTCGAATCAAGAACAGAATATACTTTGTATACATCTTGTAGACCTTTCAATTTTTTATAAAAAATATAAGTTTCACGAAATGAAGGAAATGAAAAGTAAACTCAATTTCAGTACAATCAGTTGTATTGTTTTGATAATAATACTGATAGTGACTCATTAATTATATGCAAATTTTTTTAACGAGTAGGACCTCATCTTGATCTTTGTGGCACTGTTACTATATTTGAAAGGCGTTTTATTAGATGATCGATAATGTTCTGAAGAGTTAATTAGGCAGGGTAGATAATAATTTTCTGGACTTTGGCCAAGACAAGTTATGAAGATTACTTAAAGAAATCGGTTTTTGCTATGGAAATCAAAGGAAAAAATCTATATTGAACGATGCTGAAGAGATTGTTTGTTGGCAAAGGCAATATTATTTGAGAACGATAAAAAGGTTTAGATTAGCAGGAAGATACATTTTCTATTTAGATGAAACCTGGCTAAACGAAAAAGTATCATCATCATCATCACTGGCTCGACAACTCTTTTTGTGTCTTGGCCTGTTCCAGGATTCTTCTCCATTCTGATGTGTTTCGTGCTTTTTTCCTCCATTTTTTTATTTTTAAGGTTGTTATATCATTTTCTATTTGTTGTATCTTGTTTCAAAAGTATGGGTAGACAAAAACATTACAAATTCTCGACAAGTCTTTCTAGAAGAATATTCTACTGCTTTAAATGCTTCCGACGAAAGCAGATTACCACTACGAAGATTACCACTACGAAATGAACTCAGATGTTTTTGAAGATTACTTTTCTCAGGTATTGAATTTTCTACCAAATAATGCTGTTGTTGTTTTCGATAACGCCAGCTATCACTCAAAAATAGAGGAAAAGTTACCGACTGCCTCATGGAAAAAAGTAGATATAATTGACTGGCTCCAACGCAAAACAATACTGTAAAGTCTTTATTAAGTATAATTTATTGTTCTTATTTTTATTTACTAAAGGTTCGATATTTATAACACTCACAAATTTATCAACGTCTTTATTACTAATAATTTATTTTACACTTAATAATTTATCTAAATGCGATATAATTTTAACGCGAGCCCGGACTTCTTTTTTGACTAACTATCCTCAATGAGAATCCCCGTTATTTATATGAAATGCCGTTATCTAGAAGGGTCTGGCGATGAATCGATGACCTTCCATCCATTAGGTGACTTATTCAGCTAGACTAGAAAAGTCGATCGCCTTCTGATAAATTCGGAGGGTCGCGCCGCCGGCTGCATTCTTGGTACCTGAAGTTGATATTCGACCCTTCTGGAGAATTCGGTAGAATTTGACCTAGAAAATTCGTGAATGAATAAATAGGTTTACGGTTTTTAATATGACTCATATATTTTTTTACGTAACATTACCCAACCCCCCCTTAAAAGATGGTTCCTCCTGGAACCTTGTCGGGACTGGAACTGGAACGGCATGCTGGTATCGGCAACTTGACCCTCTTTTACAACTTCCAGTTGTATAAAAATGACAAGGGACGGTTTTCTCTCCGCACTAGTAACTATGCGGCTTGCAACAGTCTAACACCTGGACTTTGGTATCTTTAAAGATCTCCTCCACCATATTTCGGATAACCCTCCAATCTAATTGGCGGCACTCCAACTTTGGCATGGCTAACTTTTTCACATCGGACTCTAGTATGTGCTCTCTCAATTGAAGTAAGGCTTCCCATACATCTCGGTAGTTAGGTTGGTTACGGGCAGTGACCCTTCTAGATAACGGCATTTCATATAAATAACGGGAATTCTCATTGAGGATAGTTAGTCAAAAAAGAAGGTCGGGCTCGCGTTAAAATTCTATCACATTTAGATAAATTATTAAGTGTAAAATAAATTATTAGTAATAAAGACTTTGATAAATTTGTGAGTGTTATAAATATTGAACCTTTAGTAAATTAAAATAAGAACAATAAATTAGAATTAATAAAGACTTTACAGTATTGTTTTGCGTTGGAGCCTGTCAATTATATCTACTTTTTTCCATGAGGCAGTCGGTAACTTTTCCTCTAATTTTGAGTGATAGCTGGCGTTATCGAAAACAACAACAGCATTATTTGGTAGAAAATTCAATACCTGAGAAAAGTAATCCTCAAAAACATCTGAGTTCATTTCGTAGTGGTAATATTCGTAGTGGTAATCTGCTTTCGTCGGAAGCATTTAAAGCAGTAGAATATTCTTCTAGAAAGATTTGTCGAGAATTTGTAATGTTTTTGTCTACCCATACTTTTGAAACAAGTTACAACAAATAGAAAATGATATAACAACCTTAAAAATAAAAAAATGGAGGAAAAAATCATGAAACATATCAGAATGGAGAAGAATCGTGGAACAGGCCAAGACCCAAAAAGAGTTGTCGAGCCAGTGATGATGATGATGATACTTTTTCGTTTAGCCAGGTTTCATCTAAATAGAAAATGTCTCTTCCTGCTAATCTAAACCTTTTTATCGTTCTCAAATAATATTGCCTTTGCCAACAAACAATCTCTTCAGTATCGTCAGTACCAAAAACCGATTTCTTTAAGTAATCTTCATAACTTGTCTCGGCCAAAGTCAAGAAAATTATTATCTATCATTGCCTTTAATATAGTATGATGTATAAATCTCCTTGTTTAAATAGAACGAATGAACTTTTCTTCGAAGGACGTTTCTACGAAATTCATCAATTTCCATTGGTTGTTTTCCTTCATATCTTTTTAGCTCGGTAATGTTTCCTTGTTTTCTTTCACTTAAAAATCTATAAATGGTTCTTTCACTAACACCTGTCATACCGGAGCATATAGTCACTACATTATTAACCGTTGTTGATGAACAATGGAATCATGAACATTTAACGCAATAGTTTTTTCTCTCAGAGAATAATAAGTTTAGCAGCAACAACTTGAAACGACGATGCCATTTTAACGCATGGACTAAACTGCTAACTGATGACATGAACGGTACCAAATTGGTTAGAACTTTTCTTACTCGGCCGGTAGGTAGGCAGATATCCCAAAAATGATTTGTCAAATTCATCAGTCATTAATAAAGGATTATCCCCTAATTAGACAAAGACTTATATGAATGCAATAGTATAGATATGCCTTATAAATTCAAACACAGTACTACTATTAAAAGAGAAGTTACTTGGTGAAAAAATTAAAGAGCGGAGAAGAAAATACAGGTAATTAAGGCTTAAGATACAACTTTTACAAAATTCGTGCTATCTATTTTCTTATTACTATCGGTGTTAAAGGTTTTTAATTTCACGAGGTCTTTTTTATTAAAGTATATGTAACTAAACAAATAAATGCGTAGCTCGTAATTAAAAAAAAGCTTATTGGTTTCAACTATATCCGTACGGCAATGGTTTACGACCTTGACAGTAACCTCTATTTGAAGATTTGCATTTATAATGAGCTGCCAGTTGTAAACAAATAGACTTTAAACGTTGAATTTATAATAATTTTCGGTTACCCACCACCATATGATATATGTATGTAAAATGACAATACATTTAGTGGTAATTTTGTGAAGTACATTGTAGTGGAAAGCAAAAAGGCAATTATATAATATTTACTTACTTGTCCATATTTAGATAACATTTGGTCCAAGTCAGATTCCTTAAAATTCGGCGGCAAGTTAGCGATGTACAAATTTGTAGGATCTTGTTCCTGTTGCTGTCAAAAATAAGAAGTTAATGAATTTCATGGCATACTTCTTAGCGATAGAGCGATTTGGAAAGTAATATTAATATTAATAAAGTTGACAGTTTACTAAACAGTGACCAAAGAGATATCTGTGAAACAGTATTTTAGAACTATCTAGTTTTTACTTAAACGTGACATCAGTTGAAATTACAGTATTTCTAAGTGGAAAATTATATGGCGTTACACTGTAATATTAGGATATATTCATAAACTAGATAGGCAGGTATAAAAAGGGTGTATAATGAGCATGTAGATAATAAACATTTTTTTATATAAATTGTGGAAAAAGAAGTATGAACCAGCTTTAATAATTTGAAAATCTTGAGATACTATAAAAATCGCTCAAACACTCAAACGCTCTTTCCTCGTTATGTACAGAACCTCTTCATTGGTGAATCTGTCTATCCAATAAAACCTTATTATGCTTCTATAGCACAACATTCTCAATGCCTTTTTTTCATCGATATCTTAGTTACCAGGCAAACGCAAATACTAACTCATAGAGACTGTTAACTTGACCGTGTATTGATGTACTCAAATCCGTGAGTTTTTGAAGCTTCTCGGCGTCTTAATTTTGAATTAGCTGGCAGGCGGTGGTTAGTTGCCTTAAAATGATTAACACACCATTCGAATTTTTCCAAAGCACTTTCCAAATCCTTTTTATTAGACGTATTTTTATTAAAGGTCCCAGAAGTACATTACTGACTTCAATGAACTCTTTTTTGACTAGTGTATTAAACAATGTATCAAATTCTTCTACTTTTCCTTCCTCTGCAAAAATATTCAATAATCCTCAAACCATAGAAGTGTATGAGCATCCCTTGTTGTCGTCTTTTTATCCTGTGGGGTATTTTCTAACAGCTTACTACACTCATCGAACTGGCCTGATTTGATATATAAGTGTGCGAATCTCAGAATTTTGATGCTATCTAGGGCAAATTCAGAGCCTTGCTTTTCTCTAACCAAATTATAGTATTCCAGAGCCTTTTCTAAACTACCGTGATAAGCGTAGAGGTGAAACAGTTGACTATATAAACCAGGTGTGAATACCAAATCTATTTGATTCAAATCTTGCACAAGCTTTTCGGTTTTCTCTAGATCCTTGGCTCTATAATACAAAGTGAACAACTGTCTCTTCAGTCCATTGGTTTCTTGATTCTTTTCGGTTAGATTTTGTATCAATTTTTCTAGTTGAGGAATATTCATTTGGTGTGATAGATATAGCTTGGAGGTTGCCGTTGTATTGGTACAGGCGTGAGTTCCCCAGAACTTAATCTTCCTAATAACTGTGAAATCTGATCAGTCATCTTCTCTCCTAACTTATCTTCTATCCTATTTTTTTTATTTTATTTTATCCTATTTTTTCGGCTGTTGGCGTGGATATACTAAGACCTTGTTCACACAACGCTTGCTGTATGTCTTTGTTGTCTAGGTAGTTCATCGACGTATTTCTTAAATTGATTATTATATTTATATTATAATTTACCATGACAGTAATTTTATTTGAAACTCAACAAATAAGCTATAACTCAAGTTAAAAAGTTGTTTCCTGAAATAACGTTGTCATTTGCAAATTGCAAATGATCTATCTATCTACCTATTCTATTTTCTCCGTGTACGGAACTTTATTTTTTCTTATCGAGAAATGATAGTTTAATGAGTGCATTCCTTGACCTTCACTGACTGACATTTTTATGTCTACCTTTCTGTACCTTGTCTAGCTATTTGTATTTATTTCCGGAATAATATCTTAAAGAATTTAACAAGAATTTAAATACACTAGAGGTATAATCTAAAAGATTTCGTTGTAAAACGAAATTTTTTAAATTCATCTCTAATCAACTTCTGTCTTTTTGGTCATTGTAATGGATTTGTTTGATTTTGTCAACGATTTTGGTTTATTAATTTTTTAACAGCTTGGGTAAATTTTTAACTGTCTTTACGGTATGAAACTAACTGATTGTTATCTGTAGTATAATGAAAGGAACACAGGTGATGTGGATGATATATCAAGGTAAAGATTTTTACTTTCCAAATCTGCAGATAAATATACAAATACAAGAAAAAAAATGGTTAGTGCCGAATATGTCTACTAAAATACATACAATGTGTTAATACTAATATATCTGGTTAAATCAAAAAGGTGCACAATTTGTTTTATATTTTTTACAAAATGCAATTCCTCATTGTTATTTTATACAACATGCAGAATGCTCTCAGTCTTCTTTTATATTATACAATCACATCAAACCTTTTATGCCATGTGAATACGTCGGGCTGAATTTAGAAACAAAAATAATTTTGCTTTCAAGATTTTAAAGTAATAGAACCTTGATTAATATAATTGTAGACATATGTCATGATAAAATTGTTCAATTCATGCAGAGCATGATATCTAGAGGGTCTAAATCACCTATAGAATAAAATTATTTTTCTCCTTGTTTGTTTTAAAAAATTATAAAATACGCTGGAATCCGTTGACTTTTATATATAACTTTTTAAACATAAATTTAAATGTACAGGATGACTCACGCAAGCCTAGCATAGTCCAAAAGCTTTTTGTTTAATGGAACACCCTGTATATTTTTAAAGCTCCTTAACAACCTGATCTTAACGAACTATATCATCTCCATATGGTCTATTATAAATATTACAGAGTTAGATTTTGAAATTATACAGTGTCGAAACCACTTATGGAATAAAAATTTTTGTGTTCTTATTTTAGAAAATTATAAAAAACACTGGGAAACGTTAACTTTTTTACGTTCAAATTGTCGCTTTTAAACAAATTAATTGTAGGTCAAGCATGGTTCATCATCTTTATTTTTAATGGAACACCCTTTATCTCCTTAACAGCCTAATATTAGCAAATTATATTATGTAGGTTCTACAAATTTTTACAAATTTCTACAAATGACATCAAAATAATAGCAGGAGACTTTAATGCCAAAGTCAGAAGAGAGAATATATTTTCGCCCATCATCGGAAAAGAGAGCCTACATGTAGACTCGAATGATAACGGTCTTAGAATTATAAACTTTGCGATGTCTAAGAATATGGTAATAGCTGAGACAAGATTTCCCCATAAAGATATACATAAGAGAACTTGGAAATCTCCCGATAGAAGTCGAAGATACAACTTTGAACTATATCAGTTATACACCCATCCAGATATTGTGAAATCCGTTAAAGTGCAGAGACTTGGATGGGCTGGACACATTGCCAGGATGTCAGATCACGAATACACGAAGAGATTAACATTTTCAAAACCAGAAGGCACAAGAAGTAGAGGAAGACCATGAAGGAGATGGATTGATGATGTGGAAGATAACCTACAGATTCTAAGAGTCAGAAGATGGAGGGAAATTGCCAGGAATCGACAGGAGTGGCGACTTCTTTGTGAGCAGGCCAAGATCAACAACAGATTGTCGAGCCACTTATAATGATGATGATTATGTAGGTTCTATTATAAGAATAATACCAGTTGAACTGACTATGCTACACTTGCGTGAATCATCCTATACATTTAAATTTATGTTTAAAAAGCGCACATTTGAACTTAAAAGTTGACGTGTCTCAGCAATTTTATTCCGTAAGTGGTTTCTATACTTTATAATTTCAAAATTTCACCCTTTATTATTCATAAGAGAACCCATATGATACAGTTTGTTGAGATCAGGTTTGTAAGCAGCTTTTAAAAATATAAAAATATACAGGATGTTCAATTAAAAGTAAAGCTTATGGACTATGCTTGCGTGAATTACCGTGTATATTTAAATTTATGTTTGAAAAGCGCACATTTATATATAAAAGTCGACGGGTTTTAACTTTTTGTTACGACTAACTAATTGTTTAAAACCAGAACAGAAATAAGTTTATTCCATAAGTGGTTTCCACACTGTATAAAAAAATAGTGTGTATCTAATATGGCGGGTTATTTCTTTTAAAGTACGTTACTGTGTACGTTATTTTCACTATAATTGTGAAGCAGTGTATTGATTATTAAGAGCTATGCTTGACGTGTCTATATAATCGATTAAATATGCTACTTCCGCTTTAGAGTGACATCCATTTTGAAATACAAAAGAAGCATTGTCAAAGAAATATTTATTTTGATCTATATATGCTATTTTATATGTAGTATGTGATCTGTCATAATCCAACCTGGGGTTAATTACTGAGACGACTTTATTTATGTGTAGCTTATTTGAATACTTGAAATTAACTGTAGAGTTCAGGTTTAAAAAAGTGTGTGAAATTATGGAGATTATAATTTCTACAAAACATATATGTTTCTGCTCAAGAATGCCTGGAAACACTCATCACAATTCGGTCAAAATACATATTGCCTTAACAACCAAGCTACCTAAAGCCTTTTACCACTTATAAGTCCGTAACAGCTTGGAACGGAAAAATTTGCTTAAGCAACTAGCCAACCAGAACAAAGTAACTTTGTTATAGGTGCCTGATTTTATCAGGCAAGAATCGTTCTATTTCATCACACAAAGCCCCATAGTGAACCACAAAGTCAACGAAAAAGATTATTACAGCATACTGCTCGCTATAAATACTCTTAGATTATGTACCAAGCATAAGAGCTAAGATGGAATAAAGAACATTATAATAAATTATTTTGAAAATAATGTAACAAATCTTCTAATAACAAAACGACACGGCGGTATGTTCTAACTACGAGAATAGGCTGAATTTTGCAGAATATAGGACCATTTACAACGTCTGAACTTTGAAGTACGTGATTGAGAAAACGCTAAATACAAGTCCCACTGTGTTAACTTTCCTATATATGTGGAAGGCATTTAAAAATGTGAAACAAACCACCGAACGATGTGAGCCTTTTTGACTTTTGACCTATGTCTGTGGCCAGTCCTATCTTACTTTCACTGTCTCATTAAAATATCAGCAAACAAATTGAGACCTCTCCTGAAAAAAATGCTGGGAAGAAATGGCGG